TTAATTTCTTTTATTTGTTTATTAGCCAACTTATCTTTCTACTGCTATTTGGACAGTTCATTTTGGTTACGATAATAATGCTCGTCCAAGTCTTGATCGTGTGGCATCCGTGCTTGCTGATACGAGTTAGTAACATTGTATTATTTGAATTATTATTTTATTTTTTGAATATGAATCTAGATGCGGATGTTATTGGTCTTCTTGAAACAGATACAGCAAAACCATTTTTTGGAAATAATGATTTAACTTCTTATTTAGGAGAAAAATTACATATGTTTACAGATTTTGGTCCATCAACAAAAGATCATACATGGGGGTACAATTACTTAAATAGAAATCAAAAAATAATTTTGTATCGTTTTCTTTTTGTTTTTAGATGTATTATTCTTTCAAAATATCCAATCGTTCGATCAGTACATTATCTATTACCATCACCGGAAGGTAAATATATGAAATATAATGATAAATACATCTATAAATAATATTAGGTGAACTTGCTCCGGCTATTCTTGCAACAATTCAAACAGCAAGCAAATTAATTGATATAATTATTGTTCATATGGGTAATGATCGTGATGATTTAGATAGAAAATTGCAAGCTGAAACATTACGAAATATTATGAACAATAGGTTTGATATTTTATTTTAGTTTTTTTGAAATAACAAAAAAAAAGATATTTTGATTTTAGTACTTATCCATTGGTTTTTCTTGGTTATGTAACATCGGCACCATTTAGTCGTGATTATCGAACGTTAACTTCAGTTGCAAAAGATATTGATCCAACAGATAGAGATCGATGGTGTGAATATATTTTATATAAAAATTTAATTCGGTAAATTTGAAATTTTTGTTTTTTTTGAAATTGTTTTATCAAGAAAAGACAAATTTTAGTATTGGTTATGCTCGAATTACTCATGCAGGCTTGACTGATACGGAAATTCAAATAGCTAAATTTAAAATTCCAACAAGTGAAAAATTTGATGATCATCCAGTTTTAGTTACGGATCCGTCGGTTGTTACTGATCAATCACTTCTTTTTAATTCGAAGTAGAATTTATAATATGAAATTTATTAATTTTATTTTTAATGATCGTTTTGTTTTTCTTTTATAAAAGATTTGGATCATACTACAGCGGACATGGTCATTTTAATACTCATCGTTTTCATATGGATACACCAGTGCGTTTATTTCTTTTTTTTTTGTATTTTATTTAATGAACTTCTCATTTTTAGAAATATTTTCTTGCACGAGAGCATCAAAACAATTAATGTCAATCAAAAAAGACTTTTTTGAACAAAGTGGCTGTGATTAAAATGCTAATATTTCTTTTTTTTTCTTGAATTAAAAATTGTGTACTTCGCTATCTGTTTAGAAGATTCATAGAAAATTTTTTTCTATAATTGACTTTACTTAGTTCTTTTGTTTTTTGGGCTAATAAAAAATTCTTTAAAGAATGAATATTTTTCTTTTAATACCTTATTCTCAACAATGACAGACTGTTATTGACTTTACTAACAAAATATGTAATTAAAGCTTTGCAAAACATGAATTTATTTGAACCATTAGTCAATTTATAGAAGCAGATACAATCGAATAATTAATTTAACTGAATGATTAATAGAAAAATCTAGAATAGTTTGATTTTTCGTACCTTTGTCTTTAAGATAATAAAGTTTTACTGTGTTTTTTAATAAAAAGCTGGAACAAGTTAAATAAAATTTCAATATCTCGAGAAGGAAGATTTGGAAAACTAAACTAATGTAGACTTTTCTATTACTTTCTAACATTCATCAAATGAACACTGTCTTGGTCAAAAAGCAATTTGATACTTGGAGAGATTTACTCGTTATTAAAGATTTTGTCCTCATGTCTATTGTTTTCATTTTTCTTTCGACTACAATCCAGTATTTGTAGTGATTAATGTATTTTGAATGTAAAATAGAAAACTAATTATTACTTCGATTTGAATTCACCAACAGAAAAGTCGAAATTCTACTAAAGTGCAAAACAACAAAGAATGATTTTTTTCTTTGATGTTTTATTATTGATTCTGATAAGTTGCTTGTCTGGTTCTTGGCGTGACAATGACGAAAATAAAAATATTGACAGTGTACATCCTGATGTAAAGTATAAATAGTGATTCAAAGCTATTTTTTTTTTTGTTTGTTCTTTTTTTTTTTACTTTGCAATCATTAGAGCATAATAGACTGTTCTGTTGACAATTACGTGACCAATATGACGTCAATACAAATCATAAGAACAAAATGTAAAAAGTCAAGTATCTCGTTTTCATCTGATAAGAATGAAGGATATGATATAATATTTTCTAGAACAAGAAGACATAAAAGACATTTATGAGTTCAGATAGTTCAATAAAATATCTACTCTATCTCATCTTAATGACAGAACAATTGATTTTCAAGCTGCACACTAGTTGATGATATCAAAGAGAAGAATTATTCAACTGTATATGAATAATCAAATTACAAACTTTATGCAATAAAAATAACTTCTTGAATTTCTGTGTTTTTTATTATTATATTTGACATTTATTTTACTGTACTTCTTTTTTTCATTACAAGTTTTATTTCAATAATATTTCTTTTTCAATATATTTGTAATGAAGTGTCCATTTACATATTAATATGAAACACAATTTAATATTCAAGTATTTGTGCAGATGTATACGTGAATTGATAACATATGAAACATGGATGAATCAAAGCTATGATTCAAATAATTATTTAGACGTAAAATATTCTGATATAATTTATTCGGTTTACGGTATGGCAACTAAAGAAAACGGAATTTTGCCGTTTTGCACTGTCAATTTTGTATCAAAGAGTTTACAAGACTTCAATGAAATTTAAAAAATGTTACATTTTCTTTTTTCATAGATTTTATAGGAATTTTTTCTTTGTCAAATATTTCCATACTATAACAATTGTGTTGAATTTAAACATCTTCATCAAATTGAAAAAGACAAACTTTAATCAATGAAACATCAGTTGTTCAAGTGGGACATTCGTCAGACAAACAAAAAGAATAATTAATCTTATTTAAACAAGATATTATTTTAGCTAACAATTAGAATCAAATCATATTGAATTGAAGATCAACATAGGGCACAATATACAATCACTAGTTAAGAAAAAGCATGAGTTTATTGCAATATCCTGCGTTGATTGAAGACTGTGTAGAAATCAAATCTGGCACAAAAAGATTAACTATGTTCTTGATTTCTAACAATGCTTCAATAGAATATGACTCAATTCTTTAACTTTATTTTAAATGGATTGATATTAGTCTTGCATGCATTCAGATCTACGACAATTGAATGAAACAGATAGATGAAAAACTAATTTTCCTAACAAATACCTTATCTTTTCAATACAATAAAACTTCCTTATTGCGAATATCATGAAGACTATTAGATATTTTCACTGTTAAGGCGTGTTCAGTTTAGGAACTTACTGCATAGTTTGCTGTGAAATGGAGAAAAACTTTCACGACATCTGTACCTACATTAATATTACAATGGAACCTTTTGTATTGATCAAAAGCTTTCTTAACTATGTCTCGGCCAAATTATCAGTCTCACTGAGAAACTAAAAAAATTTAAAATATTACATCCCCATAGCGAGCTTGGACTGAGATAATCGATTTTTAAGATATGCACAGTTTTGGTATGTGAACATAATATTATGGGAACTATTCACATCCAATGTTTTACATAATCATCAAGTTTTTCAGGGAGTATATTTTTGAAATCTTGTTGAAATTTATCGATGACATTATGATCACACTAGATTTATCTTGTTTTAGTGGATTTGCTAGTACCAAAGTGAGAAAAAAGTCGTCAATTTCCTATAAAATCTCGTAGGTTATTAGTGCTTTTGATTTTATTTCATATGAAAACAATAGAATACTACAAATGGAGATGAAGATCTTCAATGAAATGATAGCTGCAAAAGTATTCTTTGCACAAAGTACATGTTAAGAGCGTTCGCTCGTTACAGTTAATAGTCGAACAATAAGGGTCATAAAATTTGAAGCAAATATCCTTGGGTTTGCTAATTTTGCCAATTGTTTCGTTAATTATTTTAGCTTGTAGAAATCCAGATTTAATAAGATTTTTGGAATTGCTGAGCAGATAGTTGATTGTGAATAATAGAATGCATATTTATAAAATATTGACGATCTGTAGTGGTCATTTCTGTTCTATTAATATGAATATAATGTTCTATTTTCTTTTGAAAATATCTTCATGAACGAAATAAAGACAAATCTTGTGGTTGCCTATGATGAGTTGATCCTTGAGGAAAAATTAATAGTTGACTGTTTTGATTGGGAAACATTGCTTTAAATTTTGTTAGATCAACTTGAATTTTCCAACAATAAAGAAAAAGAAGGAATTTTCTATCAATCAAATGCCGTAGAACTTCATTTAAGAAGATGCGATGTTTTTCATCGCTGCTTTTTCCAGATTTTGAAGGTTGTACTACGACACTTGGTGGCACGTTTAAATTCTTTTGCACTTTCACATCAAACTCATTCTCTTTTTCTTGTAGAATGAGTAAGAATTTGTTTAATAATTGACCAGTAGCTGATGTTATAGGCTGTACTGTGTAAGAGTGCGTGACATTAGTTTTCTTTTTAACAGCCACCTCTGTTGTTCGTTCACCCACGAAGGACAGAGTTCTTGGAGGAATATATTCTTGTTGAAATGAGCAATGATCACTGTTCAATATTTGATCAGCAGAGTAGTTGAAGATAATTTTTTTTGATTTTTGACCCAATTTTGAGCATCTAAAAACCACAGATACATTGTATATTAAGACAATTATATTAGAACTTCGAATAAGTATAAATACCTTCCAAGCTGGAAACTTTTCTGATTGAGGAGACTCGAGTAACAAGTTTGTTGTATCTTCGTGATAATATTCGATTATCTTTCTTGAACTTCGTAAGAAAATATTCACTAGCTTTAAAATTATTTCATTTTAATTCTCGTGCTTTTTGAATTGCAAACAGTTCTAAATCAGTATCATGAACAGCTTCTTTTTCAATAGCTCGGTTGATATAAAATTCATCCCACATAAATTGCTTGATTTTTTCGAGCTTTTCAAATCTTGTGCCATTCTTTTTAACATATTCTCGAAATCTTGGAATAAAATAGGGATGTTTGACTTTTTGAAATCTATGTTTAATACTGTTAAACTTATAATTTGGATGTTGATCAACCCATTCAATTATCTCTTCCATTTCCTCTAATATAAAATGATTGTAAATATTCAGTTCTTGGTTTTCATCAAAATCATCAAAATCATCGATAGTTTCTGTTTCATTATATTTATCATCGAAGTCGAGACTTTGATATACATCGAGTTCATTAAAGTGATTGTCCTTAAATGACTTTAGAACTTCAAATAATTGCTCTGCCGCAGCAATTTCATCAGCACTTGTTCTTCACTCTTCATCGGAAAACTCTCTTTTCGTCAGATAAAGAAGATGCTTTGCGATGTTAACTAAATTCATTTATTTTTTGTTTCGATCAAATAGACCTCTCTTAAATGATAGTGGTGATATAGAATAAAAGAGAACGTTACTTTAAAAGCACACTTGATGGTGATTTCGTACCACCAATCACAAAGAAGCAACTTATAACCCATAAAGTCATGCATTAATACACTTAATCTTTAGATATCTCATATACATTTCATTTTTGAAACATAATACAGATATTTTTTTGCTCTCACTTTGGCACTAGTAAATTCACTAAAACAAGATAAATCTAGTGTGATCATAATGTCATCGATAAATTTCAACAAGATTTCAAAAATATACTCCCTGAAAAACTTGACGATTATGTAAAACATTGGATGTGAATAGTTCCCATAATATTATGTTCACATACCAAAACTGTGTATATCTTAAAAATCGATTATCTCAGTTCGGGCTCGCTATGGTAATGTAATATTTTAAATTTGTTAGTTTCTCAGTGAGACTGATAATTTGGCCGAGACATGGCTAACAAAGCTTTTGATCAATACAAAAGGTTCCATTGTTAGATCAGTTTTTGAACAAGTGTATATATTCATTATAATTCACACCAAGTCTGAAACGGCGTACGTCAAATTCACTGTTCTTCGCAATGTATCAAGGCTAATTCTGTCGCATACATTAAAGAATAAGGGCTAATTCAACTTTCAGTCTAGTGCCTTTGCTCGTTTTGCTGCTCGTCTACTCTGCTTTTACTATAAAACCTACCGCACAGAAATGGCAACCAAACAGTAATCTACACATACAAAAAATAAATCAGGAAGAGATACCAGATAATATTCCTACAAGAGTTTTCAGGTACCGCCTTCTGCAACTGGACACCAATCGATCACAAGTACCTACCTATTTATTTCATCATCATAACTCAGAAAGCGATCGAGATATTTACCATTCAAATAAACATATGTCCACTAGACAGATCCAAAAATTAATAACATAACAATCATCGCCACTTCGAACTCAAAATGACACTACTAACTTTTTTTCATCTTCATAATCCAGAACATAATCAAATGAAGGCTTTCTTACTCTTCTGAAACGTTGCCTTTCCAAAACTACCGCTGATACTCGGCATTGATATCCTGCCGACTAACAGGAACCACTCTTTTCTACGTCATACGGTTGATATTTCGCAATCTTTTTATGAGTTTTCTCTGCTATTCAGTGATGTAACGAGATGGCTTACTTTCTTTGTTCAACCGGTCTCGAATTATGACAATCAAATGGATCTATTTCTTTATTTCAGAACATAAAATGAGTAAAATATATAGGAAAAAGAAGAAAAAAAAAAAGAATGAAAGTATCAATGTTCCGAAGTTCTTTTTTTAGCTGTCGATAATCTAGTTTAGTTAGACTAGCGTCTAAAGAAATTGGATCGTCGACCGTTAACTGGGTATGGTCCAAATGATTGACCAGGCAATGGTCGTGGATTCGCATTATTGATGAAGCTGTTAAGTGCAAAATAGTCGAATCTGAATGTTCCACTGACAAAACCAGAATTGCCAATGAAATTCAAAACCAGAATATTAATGGCCACTGTACTTGGAGTAGAACTGCCAGTAACTTGAAAATTATAATTAGCAGTGCGAACTTCAACTCGATTTCTTCCAATACATTTCCATTCTCCAAGTTGAGCACTAAATGGTTGAGGCTCAATTCCTGCTTGTGGACTGAAACCATTTTGTTTATTGTCAATTGAAGTACTTGTGTGGTCCGCGTGAAGTTGCACTACTTCGTAGGCTGAGAAACTACGATAGTTTATTCTAATTTGAAAGGTGTCACCTCCGAGATCATCACATCGATTATTTCCATGATCATTATCTCGACCATGGTCATCATCTCGACCATTTTGACCGCCTTGACCATTTTGACCTCCTTGACCATCTGAACCATTGTGAGCACTGATTAGTGCTGACATAAGCAACATTACTAACACTAATCGCATCATCTTTTTCCTTTTTTTCTCTAGGTGAAACGCGATGAATCTAAAACATAATTTTGAACATAAATAGATTTAATCGATTGCTAGCAAACTAGGTGATGAGTAAATCCGAAGTAGACGATCTTCAAATAATAATCATTGTAGAAATATGTGAATCTATATGATTTCTCATTTCGAATTCAATTTTGCCAGAAACAATGCTAAATATTTCTCAAAACAGTTGATTTTAAGAGTCTAGATTGTCGGATTTCCTCACGACAATAGACATGAACATAGAATCTCACTATACCTAAAAACCATTACAAATTCTAATAATTCTAAGTCGGCGACACTCTTATTTTTCTATTCGCAGGTGTCTCCTTCATCTTTACTACATATAGAGATGCAGAGTTGTTGTCTCTATAATTTTCTTCATGGTGAGTATGTTAGGTCTTGAGAACTCTCTATTTATATATATATATGTATGCTTCCATACTATCCCGCTTTTTATGGATGACATGGGGAAAGCATACGAGATGAGATGGAATGTATTCGAACTGTTTAGCATCACTCATTTATGTTTGTATATGTATATGAATAATACTAATAACACTTCAGTCTCTTATTCCTATCTGAAATCGAATGTGATCTTGTCTAGTATATCAGATTCAAACGAAATATCTAGTTGTATGAGACATTGCCATGACGAAAACCTTATGATCTCGTTTTCTTCGTACCTCTACTCTCAAATAATTTCGATGAGCAGTGAGAGAACATTAAAAAAATATTTTGAAAATAAAATATTGTTCCATTAAATTTATTCGCTTTAAAGACTTTATCAAAAGCACATTCTCCGTCGAAAATTCACTGAAAATAAATTGCTTCAACAAAAATTCTTGAGCAATCACTCTTCAAACAATATCATATTTACCTTAAAGCGGGATCATAACTTCTTTCATAATAAAATAAGCCAATATTGAAATGTTCTCATCCTACAGCAGACTTCGAAAACTAGTTACACAATCCTTGTTACTGAAATCTAATGACCAAACTGTTTTAAGAATAGATAGTCTCTACTATTCATTAGATAACGAATTAGCGAAAGCTTTTTCTGCAAAAAAAACTTATGATGACACAATCAAACAAGAAAAATAAGAATATACTGCCTTCTGCATACCTTGCAGTGTAGAGTACTGCTCGAGAACAGTTTTGATAGCCCAATATTTTTCCTACGTCTATTACTAAATGTAGATCTGATCAGAAGATAAGTCTGACTCATAGTTCTCTTGTTTGATCACTTAAGCTCCCCATGTATATGCTCATTAACCAGATATTAACCACGCGTAGCCAGTTTGTTATTGGATGGATGATCCGAGAAAAAATAGTCCTCAGTGACTTCTCGAACGTCAAATCCTCACTGATGGAGCCGAGGTTCAAGCACAATATCTTGGGAGTATGTGTCGAACATGTTAAGCATTAGGTCATATCGATAATGATTAAAACATAATGGAATATTAGTAGTATTATTTACAGAAAAAAACTCTACTTAGCACTGACAACTATACAAGATAACGAAAGAGACTCAACTTTCAAAAGGCATATACTTAATTGTGGTATAATTTTAAAACGTTACTTACCAAGGATGAGGATACAAATACGGTTGATTGATGTTGTTTGTGTGTAATACTGAAGCATTATATTGCATTTATATATATCGCAAAATAAGCTTGGCTTATGTGCATTCATCCATATACATACAATAAGTGAGAATAGTGATTACAAAAGTATACCTTCAATTTTTTCCAACCAATACTTACCGTGGCTGTATTTTTTTTCCAACAAATATTAACGACGTTTTGTCTTTCTTTGCGCGTATGATGGAGAATAAGCAAAACGACAGGTATACGGAGACAAAAACAAATGCGCTTGAATATGCACACAATACGATGTAATTAATGTATTTTTTCTTATCTACACAAACCACAGCTAACACATACGTGCTTTACTATCAACGACTTGCTGTTACGAAGCATAAACCTGCCCAAACAGTAGATCCAGTATGCCATTTACAAGTGAGTATGGATAGTCTTTCTCATCATTATTCTATACTAACGAGAGCCCGTGCATACTGCATGGATGCTGTTTTTCCTGTGACGTTTCACTTCTGTCCTTTAGCCTTGATTTGGAAATAGACAAAAACCCAGTTCGCATTATATATGTATAGAGATCGTAAAGCCTGATACTCTTGTAGATTCATACTCTTGTTGTAGTACTTCTTCTAGCCTTATTCCGTTATTTCCTTATCCTTTATATCCTTTCCAGCCTTATCCATTTATACCATATACCCTTATCCCCTTATACTGTTTTAGCTTTATCCCTTATGCCCATGCAGCCTTAGCCTATTATCTCCTTTACTCTTACATCCTTATCTCCTGATCCCCTACTCCCTTATAGCCCTTGTCGATCTATGGATACCACAATACAATAGCCCTTGAAAACCTGTGGCTTCCTCAATACAATAGTCCTGGCGGACCTAACGGTCCCCTCATAGGATAGCCCTCGAGCACCTATCGGCACTTCCATAGGATAGCCATTGAGGACCCAGACGTACCCCCGATAGGATAGTTCCTGCGGACCCAAAGATACCCCCATAGAGATAGCCCTTGAGGACCCAGGGGTACTTCCATATAATAGCCCTTCAGGACCCAGAGGTACCTGCATACAATAGCTCCGGGGGACCCAGAGGTACCTGCATTTAATGGCCCTAGAGAGCCCAGAGGTA